TCTCCTTAGGGAAGGATTCTGAGCTCCACTCAGCCCACCCCTCTTCCCAGGTCAGCAACTGAAGCCAGAGCCAGGCATGGTGCCACACACCTGTTATCCTAGCACTCCAGGAGGTTGAGACAGGAGGGTCAAAAGTTTGAGGCCAGCCTGAGCAGTTTAATGGCTTAGTCAGACCCTGTCTCAAAATAAAAAATAAAAAGGGCTGGGAATGTAGTTCAGTGAAAGGCTCTGGGTACAATCCCAGTAACACACACACAGTAATAATGATAATGATAATAATAATAACTAGTAATAATGCGGCAATGATGATAATGATAATAATAAAAACCCAGGTAAGAGCAGGTCCGTGGAACATGCAGGTTGGGGAGGCCACGTGCATTTAGGGAGGTTGCTCCTGGCAACCCCTCTTTCTCTGTACCCCAGTAGAGGCTGTGCTGCGGGCAGGCTCTGTACTTTCTGGCTGGTTAACCTTGGGCACTCACTTGACTTCTCTGAGCCTCACCTGTCAACCTGGGGCAGTAATAACTGCGCGGAGCTCAGGCAGGGAGGGCACTCAGAGCACATGTGGCTCTTGGGGAATGCTCCAGAGTTGTGTCGGCACAGGCTGAACCATGATGTCTGGATTGGAAACCCAGATGCCACTCCTGAGTTGTACAACCCTAAGAGACCTGTGCGAGGTAGAGGCTCCGCGTCTGAGGTGCAGCCCCAGGAAAGCAAAGCCAGGGACACAGTGCTGTCTATGTAGCATTGAGCTGCTGCTGCTGGGGCTCACCCTCTCACTCCTCAGTGGGATCGCTGGGAATAGGCGCTGTCCCCACTCACAGGTTGGGAGATGAGGGTGTGTAGCCAGCCCAGCCTCAGGGCCCACTTAGCTCTTCTGGGAGACGCCTTTACTGATGGGCATTGTGTGAAAACACAATGAGGGGAGAGACTTAATTTTAGTGAAACAGATCAGTTAGCCAGGCATCCTGCACTTACAAACATTAAAGCAGTGCTGCAGTGGGGGTGGGGGTGCAGTGATGAAGCTGGGGATGTGATGATGTTGATGGTCATTACGGTAGTGATAATGGTGATGATGGGTTATGCTCATTGTGATGATGGTGATGGAGATGATACTGAGGCAGTGGCGACGGTGGCCATGGTGATAATGACAGTGATAGTGATGATGGCTATGGTGATGATGGTGGTCATGGTAATGGTGGTGATGGGCATATCTCAGAGCAGGACTGTGACTACGTGTGGGAGCTAGAATAGTTGCAGGTTTTCATAAGGCAACCAGAGATAATATACTTTCTGAAGTTTCCCTTTCTCTATAAAATAATTTTGACAGGAGGGAAAAACTAATTATTTTTAATGTCCTCACTGAATCAAATTTAAAACTTGATAACTTTGTGTTGGTTTACAGTCTTTAAAATTGTACTGGTCCATGAAATCTCATCACCTAGGAACTCCCAGCTCCTGATCCATCCTGGAAATCTTTCCCTTTCCAAACATGTTTTGCCTCTGGTAAACATAGGCACATATGTACACACATGCTCACATGCATGTTCCACTATATGCTGTTGTGTGTGTCCCTGGACCCTGGGCCATCTGACCCATCCAGAGACCTGACCCAGCCAACTCGCAGTGCCCAGTGGTTTCCTAGACAACAAGCACAGAGCTGCCGTGCAGGGATTTGAGCACCAGAAGCAATTAAGAGTAATACTAGCAATTAACAGTCGTGTGGTCCTTATGAGCCACTCTGCTTAACCCCACAAAGAGGTTCAAGTCTCATTTATCCCTCCAGAGCCTGGCACATTTGTGGCCCCAACATAGATGTCCTAGGGCTAGCCTGGCAGTTGTATGACCAACCACATGTTTCTTCTAGTAATCTGACTGCTGGGGTCTCTCACTTAGCCCAAGAAGGTGGACATCCTGGGTTCCTTCCTCACCCACCCTGGCACCCTGAGATCTGCCCTTGGGCATTCCTTTCCAACACTTCCTTGGGGGACAGGGCCTGGTTCTGGTGGACCTAGTGAATGATGGCTGCAATGGGGCACTGCCATATGAGCATACCCAGGGAGGCATACCTGCCCACACCTGGTCCAGATACTGAGCACAAGAGAAGGGTGCACCACTTGGCTGCACCAGTACATGGCCTGGTAAGCACTCAGTGCCCTCTACTCACTCGGATGAGGGATAAGGGGTTGTTTTTGGCTCCTGTGCAATGGGTCCTTTGGGTCAAGTCAGCAAGCCTTGACTTTGCGTGTCTGCTCAGTTATGCAGCAGGTCTGTTAGTCTGTTTTCTGTCACTATAAGTGAATACCACAGGAAAGATAATTCATAAACAATAAAGGTTTGTTCAGCTCACATTTCTGGAGATTCAGGTCAAGAAGCTGCATCTGTGAGGACCTCCTTGCTGGTGGGGACTGTGCAGTGTCCTAGGATGGCACGGGACATCACATGATGAGAGAGCAAGTGTGCCAGCTCAGGCCTCTCTTCCTGTTTTTATTAAGTCACCCATCCCATCACAGGGACCCCACCCTCATGATCTCATCTAATCGAACTAGCCTCCCAAAGGCCCCTCCTACAAATGCCATCAACCTATGGCTGTGGGGATTAAGCTTCACTCTGAGTTGTGGAAGAGACACATACCTAGACCACAGCAATCGGAGGGAAATAAGGCCAAGTCCCACCCTGCGGCAGTGCAGAGAGCACAGGAGCACGGGGAGCCTGTCCCAAGCATCAGGGAAGTTTGGTCTGGAAGACAGGAGATGGACTGTGGCACCCATGTGTCAGCCAGAGCACTGAGCCTGGCCCTACCAGAGAGCATGACTTTGTCTTCATGGCCCCAACTATTGCCACCCATAAAATGAGTCCAGTTGTCCCACTACCCTCCATGTGCCCAGATAGCCACAGATCAGGTGTGGGGAAGGACACGATATTAAAACAGAGACCATGACAAATACCAGTATGACAGGCCTGAGCGGAGGAGGACATCCCATTAACTATTTTAAGTCCCTGATCTAATAATTCATACCTCAGTGTGCTTCTTGGGATACAGTACAACAAAATGACAAATGTATACCATTGGCAACTTCACTTTAGGCAGTGTATTTACTGTATGATGAAACGCATTTCTTAAAACTTAAATTGCTTATTTTGTTTGTGAAATGTCATTACTTTTGAGTGGCTTTGGGAAAAGACATTTCAGTAACTGTCAGCACATTTTTGTTGAAGACCTTCATGCTGTGTTACTTCAATACCAGAGTAAGTAGCAGCTGATTAGTGATACAGTGTACACAGGCAGGTGTTTAAAATAGTAGCATGTGTTAAGTTGAAGTTAAGTGAGGTGCTATCCTTGTGGAGGGCACCCATAGTCCCAAGCCAGACAGCATTAAGGCAGAGGCAATGCAAAGAGGCCAAAGTGCAGTGTGTGTACCCTGCTGTGGGTGGGCACGGCAGTTAGATGATGGGGCACACAAGTAGTGCTCACATCAGGCCTGATACGCAGAAGTACTTAATAAATTTCAGCAATAACGGTGACAATGAAGATGACGTGGCTGATCAGGGACTCATAAGCATGTCATCATCAGGGAAGTGATGCACAGGGGGTGGGAGTTATGTCCAGAGGACTCCAGTAGCCCTGCCTGTTAGTCAAGGCAAGGTTAACCACTATAATAGAAATCTAAAAATACAGTCTAACATCAATAGGAGGTTAACTCTCACTCATGGAACCACCTGAAGAATAGAGACCCAGGCCTTTTGATTCCAGTCACAGCCCACCCCTCAACCCTTCAGTGCCTCCTAGTCTGAGTCTTGTGCTGGTAGAAACAGAAAAGGAAGAGTGAGAGCAAGCAGGTTCCTAAAGAGCCTGGGCTTCATCATCCCCCCCCCACACACACACACACACACATAGATCTACCTGCTTACACCCCATTGGTAGAAACTAGTCATGTGACCATACCCTGTTGCAAGGGTAGCTGGGAAATGCAGTCCTAAACTCACCACCAGCCTCCTTCAGCCCCAGGAGCAACTCCATACTCGATAGGGAGGAAGCCTGCACCTTAGCTACCTCTGGTCCTGAAAGAAGCCAACACTATCCCAGTTGCTTTATTTGTGTTCACCTTTGAACTGCAAATGTGTGTTTTGGGCTTCCGGTAAAAATCACATTCACCTTGGAACACAGGATAGAGGAGACCAACAACAGAGAGGCTTATATGAGTTTAAATCTGATTTCAAGCAATGTTCCTGACTCCAGTAGATTACTGAGTCTCCTGCAGGATTTAGGAAAGAGGTGGTGCAGGAGATTTTATTTGAGGGGAAAATATCTAAACAATGCATTGTGAGCTGCTATATTTTTCCTGTTTGTGTTGTTGTAGGTCCCCTCCTCCAGTCCTAAAATACCTATTAAATCTAATTACATCGCTCATATTATTTCCCATGAAATTTACATCTAAATCTGCTGAGTAAGGGAAGCAAGCAGAGGACTTAATTGGGCAAGTTAATCATGTTTGTTCAGTGTCTTATTTTTTTAAGGTTAGAAAAAAGCAACTGTAATCAGGGAAATAATAATAAATGTATCTTTTCTTCCCCGAAGGCACTCATCTGCAGGTTCTTGGTTTTGCTAGGAGGCTTGGAGCATCACTTTTAAGATGCTATTCTAGAGGATTCCGTGTGCAGTCAGCTGTCACAGTCACAGCTTGAAGGACCCCCATGGCCCTTTCCGCTCTGCAGTTTCTCTCCCACCTCTCAGTAGGCAGGACTCTGCCTCCATTTTGAATGGAGCTGTTTGACTCTTCTAGGATCAGCACCGGTATTCTTACACATTCCCCAAATTTGCAGTCAGGCCACAGACTCAGACCTCATCTTTTCCCCCTGGATCTTTCCCCAGGAGAGCAGATCTCACGCTTCATGGGGCAGATGGATGAGAGCCCAGCCAGCCTCATGTGAGTTCAGTATTCAGGGACCATGACTTTTCTAAACAATGTTTTGTTTTGGTTTTTTCCCTCTCCACACAGAAACCCGCGCAGACCGCAGCAAGAAGCTCTTCAGGCACTATACTGTGGGCTCCTATGACAGCCTTGATGCATCCGGGTAAGATGTGCTTCCTTTGTTACCACAACCCTGCTGGTCAGACGCTTGTGTGTGCCATCGACACCTTGGGCCATTTCATGTGGAGCTCTCAGACCCCTTTAGTTTGGTTTGCTTGTGTCCACCATGCTGGGATCATGGGAGCCACCTTCTGCAGCCCTGCAGTTGGGGTTGAGCTGCAGCACAACCAGGGGACCCAGGAGAGGCGGGCAGCAGTCCAGGGGAAGAGAGCACAGTCCCACAGAGCAGGTGCAGCAGGCATGGTGACACTCCCAGGATGCAGTTAGGTTGTCTGTGTTTTCACTTCGCCTGTGTTTCCTGTGCTCTCTACTGCCACCTCTGTGGAGCTGGAGTTCGCATTTGATGGTGTGGCTGGCCGGGATGAAGGAGATTTTCCCACAGAAACCCAACTGCAGCAGCAAGTGCCGCAAAGACATCCTCAGTCTGAGTGTCCCTTTTCCCTGTGATGGGGGTGAGGCTGAGGCTATGGTGGAGCCCTTTTTAGACTGGGATGTCATAAACAGCTGGGCATGTAGCACCTTTTGTGGCCACTGTTCCAATCAATCACCTCGTTAGCTCTCTGGTTCTGAGTGTCCCTTTGTTTGCCTTGCAAGTCACAAGTCTGCCTTCACTAGCACTGATCCTCACTGGGGCCATGGGGGGAGGCTTTGCATCAGGGCCTTTGAGGAGTTAGTGGGTAAGGCAGGAAGGTGAAGGTCATCTGTGTGTGACTGCTGCTGGGAGTATCCTCACCTGGCCCATAGGATTCTTTTGAGAGCCCCCCACCCCTAGTCAGATGCCTGCACAGAGGACCAGTCTGTAGAAGGGACCCGTCCTCCTTCCCTGATTCCTCCCTGATTCCTCCCCAGCCGTAGAGGTGTGATGAGCTCTCACCCCTGTTCCCATTGCTCCATCTGCCTGCCGAGGGATCCTACCTGAGTTTGTTTTTATTGAGGCAAGCGTCGCATAACATAAAATGTATATTTTAAAGTACACAGTTCACTGGTGTTTAGCATGTTGATACTATTACACAGCTGCCACCTTTATCTAGTTCCAAAACATTTCATCCCCCCAAGAGGAAGCCCTGTGCTCATAAGCTGTCACCTCCATTCTTCCTCCCTATGAACTTTGGCAGTCATCATCAGTCCACTTTCTGTCTGTTTGGATTAACCTGTCCTGGATGGGACTTTTATAATGTGTAAATGGCATTGCTGGCTTATCTCCCTGAGTACAACATCCCCGGCGTGCATCCATGCTGCGGTGAGTCTCCAGCTCCATTCTCAGAGCCCCCAGTATTTCTGTTGTGGTAAAATATAACATTCATCTGAACCATGGTTAAGTGCACAGTTCAGAGTTAAGCGCACGTACACCACTGTGCAGCCATCACTACCCTCCACCTCCAGAACTTCCTCTGAAATCCTGTCCCTATTAAATACAGACTCCCACCTCACTCCTTAGCCCATGGCCCCCCATCCTGCTTTCTGTCTCTGGATCTAATGACTGCAGCAACCTCTTATAAGTAGAAAACACACAGCACTTACCATTTTGTGACTGGCTTAACTCTCAGAGCACAGTGTCTTCAAGGTTCATGCATGCTATAGTGTGTGCCAGGATTTCCTTCCTTCTCAAGGCTGAGTGACAGTCCCATGTTTCTCTATTCACTCATCCCTTGATGACACTTGGTGTCTGCTCTTGGCTATTGTTAATGATACTGCTATGGACTTTGCTTATAGGTCCTGGTTTGAACGTGTTTTCAGTTGTTTGAGCAGTTACCTGCACCTAGAATTGCTGGTCAGATTTAGTGCAAATGCCAACCTCTTCTTCCACCTCCATCATAACAAGGTACACTGTATCAGGAGTACCATGCCTAGCTAGGCAGCTGGGGTCCCTTCTAGAGGGAAAGTGTGGATGCTCCAGGTCTTGTTCTGTTGTCCCCACTTTTTATGCAGTGCTAGGGATGGAACCCAAGGCCTTGCACATCCTAGGCAAGTGTTCTACCACTGAACTTCCACTGCCCACTTTTTTACTTTTACATGTTCACAACAGGGCTATAATGCATACATCTCACTGCTGGACAGCTTGAACCATCAGTGGTACATACGTGACTGTACCACTTCTACCACCAGTGGTATAAGTGGCTGATTAGACAGTCATATATGTACCACTAGTGGTTCAGGCCAGTGGGAACATGTTAAAGTCTAGATGTAATCATATTCTGGTATAAGCGTATCCCCCAAAAGGGTCAGGGACCAGCAACCACTAGGGTAAGATGGCTGCTACTACAGGAGACATCAGTCACAGTGGGCCCTGGACAGTGATCACAGTTGGGCAGAGGGGGGCCTTCAACCCATACTTCCATTCCAGCACAGAGATCTTAGCAAAGCCAGCATCCACAGTGCCTAACACTCAGGGACACCTAGGAAAGCCATCACTATGGTGGCTTGGAGGGCTTGCCAGGCAAGGAGCAGGGTCTAAGTAAAAAGTGAATGGGTCAGGCATTGGCTGTCCTCAGGCAGTGGCTTTTGCACAACCATCTTCCTACAAGGTCCCTTGTCTCTAGGGACGGAGTAATGAACAGCCCGCCTTGATGTCTGTGAGACCAAGTGTGCACCCATGCATGAGGGTGTGTGTACACATGTGCATGAGAGTAGGTATGCATGCACACTTGTCATTTGAATCAGGTGGTGTCAGGGCCCCTTCCCTGTGGAGGAGTGATGGGAGCACCCAACTTGAATGAGCTGGGAAAAGGAAAGTGGTGGGGCCAGCTGACTGGGGTCCTGTGGCAGAGGCATGTCACGTGACCAACAGCAGGCCCAGAGCACATGGGGCACAGGCTGCAGGTTAGCCAACCAAGGACAAGTGGGACTGTTGTAGCTGTTTAGTGACAGAGTGGGCTACCTGTGACCTATGAGCACCCTGCCACTGAAGAGAGTCAAACTGGGCTGAGCACGCTCATACCAGGAGGTCACAGAAGGTAGGACCAGGTGACCACTGAGATTCCTCAGCATCCCTGCTTTTAGTGTCCAGATGAAGGCTTTTGTTTTATGCTTGTTCTGAACACCTACTCTGTGCCAGGAGCTTGGACCACAGAGAAGAGGGCCATCTGGCCACACCAGGGTCAACTGGTAGCTTTTAAGCAAGGGGTAGACCAGAATTCAAGTGAGCCCCGACTCTCCCATGGCAGAGGCTTAGACAAGCTGTGGGTTTCTTGTGACCTGACATTACAGTAAGAGAAACCAGGGTCACGATCGTGTCATTTACACATCTTCCCATGCGTCTGCCACCATGCCCTTGTCACAGTACTACTGATGGCTACACTCATGACCTTGCACAGCAGGTATTATTATCTACTTCATAGAAGGACAGTGCAGTTGAAAAAGGAAGGCCAAGTGATGGAGCTCGTCCCTGGCCCTACCAGCAGTAAGCCTGGTCACCAAGGCCTTGCCTGCTGACCAAGACCTTGCCTGCTGAGGCCAAGATATCACTACCCAGGACTGGCCTGAGATAGAGGGAAGCAGCAGGGTGGGATTTTCTGTGGAGACAGCTTTCTGCAAAACTACTCTGGGAGTATCCTTGGGAGAGAGAGAATGTTGCTCCCTTGGTTAATGTACAGCCATATGAGCCTGCCTGTGAAGTCCAGAGCACAGCCTTCAGGGCGTCCTCCACTCAGAACAGCAGCCCTGGCCTTGGCCAGACTGTGACCGTGACAGGGCTCTGGAGATTGGGCAGTGTGAGCGTTTGTGGACAAACAGGTGGGGCTGTTTCATGGGCCATCCAAACCCACAGCTAGTCTGGCTTTGGAGAAAGAGAGGCTGACCATTGGTCCCCTGATTGAGCAGGCAAGACGTGTCTGGGGGCGGGCACGCCGCAGTGCAGCACAGAGCAGCCAGCCATTCGTTAGCCCACTTCAGAGCCCCTGGTAGAAATGTCCTAATGAGCAGTGGAAACCCAGGGCAGCACCAGCCAATTACCCACTGTAAGTGGCAGGTCATGTCCAGGCAGGCGGCACATGGCTGAGGCCGCCCCACTGAGAGTACAAAGGCAATTAGAGACAATTCAATAGGAATCAAGACTCAATGGAGATGTTCACTGAGTCAGGTGGGAATTTTCTCCCCTTCCCACCTTTCTCATGTCAGAAAGTTTGCTCAGAGGTTTGGCGATGAAGAGCAGGATAGCTAAAGCAAGCCATCCAGTCGCTCAAGCTCCTTCCCTTCCACCTGCCCAGAGTCACATGAGAGTGGCTGGAGAATGGGCTGTGCTGATTGGGTTGCACAGCAGAGGCCCTGGTACCGCTGCTATACATTGTCATTGTGAATATAGCTAAACACAGAATGGCGCTTGCAAGTCTCACTCTTCTTTAACCGGGTCCCAACTTCATCAACATGAAACACCTAGGATGAGGCTGCCAGAGGTGGGGGCAGACAGGAAGACCTCATGGTCTCACTTAAGGCTGAACACGTTCCATCTTTCCACCCTCCCATCCTCTATCCATCCACCCATTCATCCATTTACCCTTCATCCACCTACCCACTGGTCCTTATCCAGCCAGCCAGCCAGCCATCTATCCAGTCATCCATCTGCCCATCTGTCAATGTCTGCCTGTCCATCTTCTATGCAGCAATCCATCTACTCATCCATTCACCCATCTACTCATTCATCTGCCCATTTATCCATCCACCCCTCCATCTGTCTAGTCATCTGCTTAGTCATACTCCATTTATCCGAACATTCACCCAGCAAAGTGTCCATTCATCCTTCCATCCACCTGCCCATCCCACTCACTGGACCAATGTTTATCAAGACTTCACTGCTCTGGGAGTTAAAGGCACAGAGGTAAAGAAGGCCCAGCATAGTCTTTGACTTTATGTAGATTAAAATCTTATTAGTGAGGACAAGCAATACATTTTACATATAAACAAACCAAAGATTTCTACTGTATAATTAAATCCATGAGGCAAATTAGCAGCACTCTCTTTAGTCCCTTTGATGGGATGGCTTAAGCC